TAGCGAGCTTAATAGTTTTAGATATTTATTCATAACATAAACAGCGCTAGCATTTCTGTCGATTCCATTTCAGCTTAACCGGAAAAATACATGCACCGTACTAACTGCTAGGGCAGTTATTTTCTCCGTTGAATACTGCCCACCTGCAATAATGATTCCGTAACGTACTTCTTGCGCTATCTTTTGACCATTTGGCAACTTTTCGTTTCGTAGCTGACACGGTACAACACTTTTCTTTCGCTTACTTCACACGGCCAGTCATTTTGTTTACAAAGAAATGGTGTGCTATGCGCATGTGCTAGTAGAGGGGAATCCCTGAACAAAACGTTGGTCAGACAGGTAGAAATACCGATGATTTTCTTAGATTTAATCATTTTTATGAATCTATTTCAGCCAAATCCGATCGTTATTTTCCATAAGGAGTCCCACTTGATATGTTTATGTAGTATTTGAAAAAAAGACAAAAAATAAAGTTACTTCACCGTGATGCCCCTTTAATCTGTTCATTATATAATTACTAAACTTGAGTGTCAAATTATACTGTATTAAAAGTCACTTAATGTTTTTGATTTTGATTATATGATTGATGTTAATGCCGGGAAAAAAAATCAAAACTACACAAAATTCGATGGTAGACCAATGTAAACAAATCAGGCTAATTTATTGATGTACCAGGTAACGATAGTTTTGTTGCTTTATTTAAAAGTCCTGTAAAATTATAAACCACGATTATGCAATCAATCATTGGTTGTTTTACTACATCCGTTTACAAACCCGATCATTGATTATAATTTGCCTGAATCGACCACCAAAGTGAACCTGAAATTCACATTCCCTCACCATCATGTGACAAACCTATTTAACCAACAATTTTATATTTGAAATTTCCATTTCAGTTAGTCTAAGTTCCAAGAATGATTGACTTTAATATAGACTTTTGCCGAAAGTTAAACCAGGTCTAAGTCAGGCGTGTTAATGATAAATTGAGGACATTGAATGGGAACTTTTGATTTAAAGTCACACCGTAAATTGTTAGTAAGTCAATAAACAATACCTTGACTTTTTCTTTCTCACGTTACAAACACACAAGTCTTTCTGAAGTCGACAATTGGTCAACGGTTGTAATGATGGCTGAAGACGGAAAGTTCACTAGGAAATAGTGAAACAGCCTGAGAGACACAGGGAAAATCCTGGAATTGTGAGAGCAGTTGGCCATTTTCAGCAATTTTTAGTCAACATCAAAATTATGAGGGGCCATTCTATGTAAAATTAAATGAAAATTGGAACATGGAGAGGCCAATTGCAGTTTTGAGCTGTCATTGGCCCCATGACCACATCCAGGATTTTTCCTGGATATATACTCCAGACTTGGTCTCATTCCACAAGGTAATGCCAAATACTTAGGTAAGTTTGTACCACTCTACATAGGTCTAGGAATGAAGGATTCAATTTTCTTGATGTGATTTTGCTATATTGGGTTTATAAAGAAAAAACGCTTCCTGTGTTTAGATTTTTTTTATCTTGACAAGATTTATTTGTTTTCCTTGACAGAGGCAAGCTACTCTGGTCATCAGCTTAAATGCTGAACTTCTAGATTTGCTAAATATTTCTTAACCCTCAACAGTTAATGATTCTGACAGGCACTTCTCATTACTACTTTAAACACCGCTTTATTCAATGATCAAACATTATCATTACATGATGTATACAGTATGATTTCAGAAAGGAATTGGAAAAGCTTAGAGCCTAACAGGAACTATAAGGTAAAATTAAAATAGTTAAATTGAGCTTATATCAATTACATAAATCTGGTGACGGAAGTCCCGACAACAACACAACTCTTGGATAGACATCGTGATGAGTCAAAATGGACGAGGTATAACTAGCCTACATTGACATTTGGTTTCTCATTAGTTCATCGGAAACTCGGATAGGCCTACTTCATCGTCTCTTCCTTCAGACTCCCGAGTCACTGTTAGTCACATTTTTAGAGTTGTCATGTAGAAATCTAGATAACCTATCTATTGAAAGCTCCTAATATCTAAAACACAAACACATTATGAGTGAATGGTAATAGTTCAAATAGCTTTTTAAAACTGGTAGCAATGACATGGTATAATTATAACTAACAACTTACCTTTCCCCCCGACGTTGACAGAATGTTGTCATCTGCGACTATGGACTTTCATAAACACTTCCGCCAAACAGGAAGTGAAACTAGAAGAAAAAGTAGGTCAAATTTTCACATTTTACTGACTTCACAATGTTAGGAAAACATCCACTTATAGTGAATGCCAAGCGAAAGAATTGCTTCCTGTTTTCAAAAACAACTATTTTACCATGACGGGCTTGTTTTTCTTTTTACCACATACTTGAGACGCGCATGAATATCTATACATGAAAAACTCTATATTTGGCGGGAAAATATAAATGATCTTTTTAATTTCTACATCTTCTACTTCTAAATCGTAATGACCAACTTCAACAAGTTGAAGATAATGTCATGAGGGAGAAAGAGATTTAGTCGATTCCGAGAAAGCCAAAATTGTGTATACATGTTAATAGATTTAATTTTGAGGGTACAGTATGGCAAGCCAAGTTGTCATTTATTCATGGAGCAATGTTGAAATTATATAAGATATCTTATATAATTATATAAGATATCTTATATACATTTCTTTATAAGATATCTTATATATTATATCAGATATCACATAAAAGATATAAGATAACATAAAAAAAGAGATATCTTATATATTATATAAGACATATTTTATCTTTTATGAGATATCTTGTATATAATATATCAGATATCTTATAAAGAAAATTAATTGAGATATCTTATAAAGAAAAGTGTATGGGATATCTTATATATTATGTAAGATATCTTATATCTTTTATAAGATATCTTATAAAGTATATAAGATATCTGATAAAAGATATAAGATATCTCATAAACTTTAAATAAGATATCTTATATGATTATAAGATATCTTATATAATTTGGTTAAGTACTGGATCAACATTGCTCCGTGAATAAATGACAACTTGGCTTGCCATACAGTGAAAGGAGAGCAGAATTGAAGATATGATATCTGGTGGGATCTTATTCCACTCAGATATTGATCGTGGAAAGAAGGATTGTTTTCTGACCAGGGCCCGTATTCATGAAAGCGGTTCCATGCTCAAGTATGGATTTTGCACTCAAGCCTAATTTCTTGTTTTAGTTATAGATTAATAAAAAAAAAAAAAAAAACACTCTTATTTTGTCAATGATTTCGAAAACAAATTAAAGAGACTCGAAGCCAAATACTGTTAATTATTATCACATTTGACTTGTTGATCGTTTGAGATTATTTAAGCGAGTTACAAGAAAGTAGGTTTGAGCACAGAATCCATGCTTGAGCATGAGAACAGTTTCATGAATACGGGCCCTGGGTTCTGCAGTATGGTATTTGGCAGGATTGGTGATGGGCATGCCTTGATTGCCTGGTTGCTGGTATAAGTCTAGTGTGTTTACTTATAACTACCTGATTGTTCACAATTTTGACCATCATACATAGACTTGTGTCTTTGCGTCTGTCGGCAAGGGATCGCCATTTAAGATGGTTTAACATATTAGAGACACTGCATGGATGTTCTATGAGTGTAGACGTTTTTGTTAAGTACGTAACGAGCAGCCCTGCGTTGTACCATTTCAATCTTATTGATGTTATCCTGGGTGTATGGGTCCCAAACAGGACAGGCATACTCTAGGGATGGACGGACTAATGATTTGTATGCCTGTGCCGTAACTGATGTTAACTCCAGCGAAAGATTTGAATATAAAATGTACATGTACGTATGTAGTTTTTGACTTTCTACCATTACTTGTCATAACTTGAACGTGGAGTGTTGTGAGAGAGTGATCTGCACGAGTATATTTACATATGTACGCGCACGTCACCACCCTGATTCACTTCACACTATGCTGCCGAGCAGGACGGACAGTGTCTATCCTTCCCAGGTCCCTGGCAGGCGCGGATTTAGGGGGGGGGGGGGGGGAGGCCCCCCCTTTTGGCGGCGGACTGACCTTTTCCGGCCCGGTCCGAAATGGTGTGGTCTGCCGGGAATGGGAACATAATTAACATTTTAAAATGCATCAAATGATATTTTTACTATATTTTCTTTATTAAAACAATATTTGTTGGCATCGCTACATAAAGTGTTTATCTTTATTTTACCACCTCCGCAAAACCCCAAGTTGCAACTTTCAACGCTCGGCGGAAATATACTAGTATAAGTTGCATAATTATATTATTGACCGCTCGTTATAGATGATCTTAAAATTAATACTTTTTATTGTAACCTTCCTAACCGCCCGCGCGATATTAATCATATCATTATACAAGAACGATAAGATATTATGTATAATCGACTAAACATCTTTACAAGTTAAAGCAAACGCTTTTTATCTGATGGAAGCTGTAAACCTAACAATGCATTATAGAACTGATACAGTGTTTCGTGGATATATTTCACAGGCAATGCAACGCGGACATCAAAAGGTGCCGCACCCTTGTTTTTAAAACAAATACATTGTCCGTCGACACTCACAGTGATCAATAGTAAAACTAAATTGAAATATACTTTTACAAATTCGAAATTATTTACATCTGGTATCAGGGCTTTCTAACTGTTTAGTTCAGCTATGGCTGTAGAAACAAGTGGAGTGGATATTCTATCCACAAATCTAATTACTGCCGACGTGCTTGATATTGACAAAACCCTATGGAAAGCCCTGAAAGCTACAGGGAATGGCGATTGTCTTTACAACAGCGTTTCCATTTTAATGAAAGGTTAGTAGTTGTCTTCCTTTTATGCTGAGG